ATATAATATTTTGTATAAAGCGAATTTTAATATTTATTTTAAGAAAATTTCTTTGTGTTTAATTTTCAGAGTTCTTTCCTGCAAGCAATTTTAGGCGAATTGAAATCATCGCAAGGTCAAATACACATAAATGGCAAAATATCATATGCTAGCCAAGAACCTTGGCTGTTCACCGGCACAGTGCGAAATAACATTTTGTTTGGTCAGCCTTATGATAACGTTAGATATCAGAATGTTGTAAGCGTATGTGCCCTTACGAAAGATTTCGAACAACTTCCGTATGGTGATAAAACCTTAGTCGGTGAAAGAGGTACAGCACTCAGCGGTGGACAACGTGCTAGAATTAATCTAGCAAGGTAAATTTGCATATATTTGCAAAATAGTGTTACGTATTTTCAATTTTTACGTAATTTACTATTTACAGAGCTGTCTACAGAGATACAGATATTTATCTCTTTGATGATCCTTTATCAGCTGTTGACACTCACGTTGGTCGACACTTATTTAATGAATGTATGAATAATTACTTGCGAAACAAAACAAGAATTCTCGTGACTCATCAATTGCAGTATTTGAAACAATGCGATTACATTGTTATTCTTAATAATGTATGTAAAATATTATATTACATATGTATATATGTATAATTATTTATGTGAATACATTTGCACATTATTATAAGTGTATAAAATTTAATTATGTGAATTTTTTCAAAAAGGGTCAAATTGAAGATGAAGGTACGTTTACAGCCCTTCAAGAAAAACATGCGACTTTTTTGGAAATATTAATGAGAACCGAAGAAGTTAATGAAAAGATGAAGGAACCATTAAAAATTAATGCAAATTCTATGTCTGATGTAACTCAAAACGGTAACGTTAATAACGAAGACACGGAGAAAGCTGAACCTCAAGAAACCGAAGAGCTTCTGGCTAAAGGAAGTTTGTCAAAATTTATTTACTGGAAATATCTTCGTAGCGGTGCTTCGATCATCATGATTGTCTGCTTTTTGTTTTGCACAATCTTGGGACAAATTGGAAGCAATGGTTGTGACTATTGGGTCGGTTATTGGTAAGTTCTTATATAAGGAAGAATTTATTTCTAGATGTAATAAATTTTATAATACAGGACGGTACAAGAAGAGACGCGTATCAAAGCTATGCGCGAACTACAGCATAGTGCAGTGAATAATTTTACAATGCCTTTCTCCACACTGAGATCTACTAGACAAATAGAAAATGCATCAGATATTAATAATGAGTTTACCGAATTTGTAACAACCACAGACTATTATAGAGAGGATATGTCCAATGATACTATATCGTCACAAAATTTTACTATCAATAACTGTTAGTATTTCCTACTTTTCTTATAATTCTTATAATTCTTATATCTAGTCTTGTAATTATCGTAAATATTTTATTACTTTATTTCAAATTAGATCAAAATTATAGATAAGAATATATACTACCTCGATACGAATACGGCTTTATGGATTTATGGAGGTTTTATTACTATCAGCATTGTGGTAACGACAATAAAAAATTTAATCTTCTTCAAGATATGTATGAATGCCAGCAAGAATTTACACAATTTCATGTTTTCGTGTGTACTTAAAGCACCAATGTCGTTCTTTGACAATAACCCATCCGGTAAAGTATATCAACTTATACAAGGTTATATATTCCACTTTTCGATGAACTTCAGCTCTGTCTTATTCTCTTAGGTTTCACAATATATGGTTACCTAAAGATTAAAGGTAATCAAGAAATTCATAAATGAATTTCATTGATGAATCTGTTGGTAATCTTTAATCTTTAGGTAACCATATATTGTGAAAATAGGCCTTACTCTCTTATGCTCTTATTCTTTTACTGTTTTGTTTATCTAGTAGGTAAATTACCATATAGTTTATCCGAAAATGGAATAACCGGCCCTTAGTGTTTAATCAGTAATTGTTAATATAATGTAACGGGATGCAAATAAGTAAGAATTGTACTTTCCTAGGTCGAATTTTAAATCGTTTTTCAAAGGACGTGGGCGCAGTGGATGAAATATTGCCCAGCACTATGACAGTATCTCTTCAAATATTTACAGTGATGATTGGAATTCTGGTGCAAGTATTTATTATCAACTGGTGGATTATATTCGCTATAATCATTATGATTTTCTTGTTTGGCATGATAAGAAAAATTTATCTTCCAATAGCGCGAACCACAAAACGGTTGGAAGGAATTGGTAAATTACTTTCTTTCTCTAGACAATTTGAAGCTATTTTTTCGTGTCCAAAATTAACATTCGTTTAAATTTTTTAGCGAAAAGTCCTATGTTCTCGCATGTAAACTCCACATTGTCGGGTCTGACGACAATACGTTCTACTGGTGCCCAGGAGATGATTCGCAAACAATTCGATGAACATCAAGATTTACACACTAGCACTTATTCACTAATTATCGAAACTGGCACAATATTCGGTTTTGCGCTAGACATAGTATCTATCGGATTTATTGCCGTCGTTACGTACAGTTTTGTTGCGTTGAATGATGGTAAAAGTGTTTGTTACAATTATTACAGAGCATTTATAATAATAAAATATTTATACAGATCTTTTTGCTTTTTTTTGCTAGAAACTTTCGCCGGACATGTCGGTTTAGCTATTTCGCAAGTGCTCATTCTATGCGGTATGGTACAGTACGGAATGCGTCAAACTGCCGAGACGATCACACAGATGACGAGTGTAGAAAGAATAATGCAATTCACCGAGCTCGAGAAAGAGGGGCCGTTCGAGAGTAACCCCATAGATAAACCGTTGAGTAATTGGCCCTCTAAAGGAGAAATTAAATTCGATCGTGTTTATCTTCGATACTACGAATCTGAACCACCCGTTCTCAAATCTCTAAGTTTCGTCGTTGAACCTGGCATGAAGGTAATTACTACTTGTTGTACAAATGAAAAATTCATTATCAAATAATCTCACTTCTAAACAATTACAATTATATTCTAAATTATTCTAAATCATTCTCTCTAATATATAATTTTTTAGATTGGAATTGTGGGTCGTACTGGAGCCGGGAAGTCATCTCTAATCGCCGCCTTATTTCGCATGGCAAAACTCGACGGCACTATTTACATTGATAACGTTGATACGAAGAAGATTGGTCTTCACGATTTGAGAAATAAAATCTCCATAATACCGCAAGAACCGGTATTATTCTCCGCTACGCTTCGAGATAATCTCGATCCCTTTTATAAATTTCATGACGCTGATCTGTGGAGTGTTTTAGAAGAAGTAAAATTAAAACACATGATAGATTCCTTAGACTATCGCGTCGAGCAGGACGGCAGTAACTTTAGCGTCGGACAGCGACAGCTGATTTGCCTAGCTCGCGCGATTTTACAGGCTAATAAAATACTTGTGCTCGACGAAGCTACTGCTAATGTGGATCCTACGACGGACGCATTCATACAAGCCACGATAAGAAAGAAGTTTGAAAACTGCACGGTATTAACAATAGCGCACAGATTGAACACGATAATGGACAACGATAAAGTACTGACAATAGATCAAGGTCAAATATTAGAATTCGATCATCCATATATTTTGTTACAAAACGAACAAGGTCACTTCAGTAGTATGGTGCAAGAAACTGGAAAGGCGATGACAGAACAACTTAAACAATGTGCCAAAGAGGTAAATCAATTGCTCTATCATATGGTGATAAAGATTGAGAAAAAAGTTAAAAAGATATTTAAGTGTAATATTTTGTTTACAGGCGTATAAACAACAGCGTGTATTATGATTTACTCTGGAAGTATATTACAACATATGTTTGTGTTAACAAAGGAACAAATTTACTTAAATTTTGTTTTACTTAATTTTTCAATGCTTTTGAAACAATATTTTTAGTGATAACTGATTAGGTTTCAGTACTTAATTATTTTAAATAATTCGTACTTATTTTTTTATAAATTGTGTATATACAACATTTGTGTGTAAGGAAATAATATTTCTATTACCTTCGGTGATAGAATTGGTAAGATGTCACAAAATATAGGGAAGTCCAAGTTGGAAGTCAATCTAATTTGTAATATCACGTAATCCAGCTTGAATTTACGACTGTGTTTCAAGACAACAAATAATCGGCGCGCAGTTTGCTTGAACAGGAAATTGTAAGATTCATACAAAAATATTATTGGGCATCAAAATTCTTTGACTCAATATGGCCTTCTTTGCTTATTTGTGTTAATATTGCAAAGTAAATTTATCATTTTTCTTTTTAGTTACACACAATTAGGCCTTTATTAAATTTTTATAAGTAGCATTTTATAAAAGTTTAAAAGAGCTTCTAATAGTATTGATACCATTTTATAACTATTTGAATATCATATAAATATCAAATTTCGTTTGAAAAATGCCGACAAAGCACAATATATCGCAATATAAGTCTATAATGTTGTCAATAGTTAAATGGTTGAAAAATTGAATTTATCTAGGAACATAGTGTGTTCAATGCTGTATCCAGGGTCGAGAAAATTACTTTATAAAAGTAATTTGTTACTGTTCTTTTTTATTACATTATACATAAGTTTAAAAAGATAAATTTGAAACAAAAAATAATTTACAGCAAATGCCATAAATTAATTTTTGAGCTAAAACTAAATACTGTTAATAAGACACCTAATATTTTGGGCTAAGGTTGTATTTGTACAAAGTAACTATTGTATTCATTACAGTTATAAAAAAAGTAATTGTAACAGTAACATATTACTTTCTAACTCTGCTGTATACAATATTAAACTTCCATACGAAATAAGAGAATATATTACCTGTTGACAATCGAGTAATAATGTAAATTTTGATATTTTATATAAAATACAAGTTGAAAAAAATTACTAAAGATTTCTTTTTAATAAATAATCATATTTAGATTTTGTAATGATAAATAGAAGTATACAATTGTACATACTGATCCATAAAGAAATATATCACAACCTTTCTCCTCTCTTAACTATGTTTCCTTGATCTAGAAGAACATCAAATCAACTGCACTACACCGGATTTAACCAAGTGCGCTACGGCACTATACTGTATGATATGCTGTGAACCTTCCTCAAAGTCTATCTCTTCATTCAGCATGCCAGGCAAGACTATGCCGGGAATCCTCTGATTGGCACGCAAAAACACATGTGCCTGCAAATTAGGCTTAATAATAAACTTGTTTGCCTCAAATCGCTGAAAGTTAGGCGGCATGTGCTGTAAAGCCACCGTCTTGAAGAACGTCTCCAGATTGGCCAGGTATTCCTTAGCGAAGCGCAACTCTCCTGGCGTCAGATAAGCTTCCTCTGGACTTCTATTTGCCTCCTCCGACAGGATATGAATCGTATATCGTTCGATCTTCTCCAAACGTGCTCGCAGATAGCTGCTAATGACGTATTTGATCCGATCGAGCTCCATCCGGTGGACTAGCGCTCGCAGATCCTTCTTGTCTAACCTCTTGATGTTCTTTTCCATGTGCGCGATCTGTTGCAGCATGCAGTCCACCAGGTCAGACTGATGCGGCAAGATCTCCGGAGCGAATCTCTCGTTCATCCAGGCGTTTTCGATCTCCTGGAGCGCCGTCTGCGCCGTCAACTCCCCGACGCCATCCCCATCGTCCAGCAAACTGTCCTCGAGGCTCTCCTCCATGGCTGTTGATTATAGCAATCGTTAAAAATATTCACGCGCGAAAAAAATGCATTTTGTTTTTCTTTTGCGTACCTGTCGTGTTGATTTTTGAAGGTATCTATCGTTGATATAAATATTACGAATCATCACGATGCTATCACCAATCCATCATCGTCCATCACTTATGGCGGGACACACATAACCGCTATTCAACTTTGCCAGTATTTACTTCTCGGCACTCGGCAGTTCGGCACGTTCGGCAATTCCCGGTTCGGGCCATTTTGAATCGCTTTCGAATTTCCCACGTGATTATCTCGAAGTTCATTAAATTTCGATCTTACTATCGATTGCGTTTGAATTTAACCGCGCAGTATCTCGTTCGAAATCGACGAATTCTAATCGTTGTATAAATGTATAAATATACTGACTATCGGGAGGGATAAAGATAGCTTTCGTCCATTTTTACAATTATTTTAAAGCGATCTCATCATTTCGTTTTATCCAAATTGTCTTTATTTACAAATGGCACGTAACACAAATTTATGCGTCATTTCTGACGTCACGATTGACGTCAAATGGCTCCTTTGTGGTGATTACTCAGGAATCTTAAATAAAATAAAACACTTTATATATTTATTTGTATTTACAATTTATATTCCTTCCTACTCTTTTGAAGCTATAATATAATATAATATATAAACTAACTAAAATTTATAAAAGATATATAAAACAAATACCTTTTAAAATTATTTACCGTATTATTTTAATATGAATTCTTCTTTAACAATTAGAAAATTTATTAAGACTAAATACTGAATCGTTGATTTTAATCAATCTGTACCATCGAGCGATTTTCTGCATTCTATTCTTGTTGCATCCTCGTAAGGTTTCTGTGTGCGGCAACTCAAGGTACTCCCAAGGTATTCCCAAATCCTGCGTAATCTAATTGAGAACTTCTTAAGACTGTTTGCCGACTTAGAAAAGTGTTGTATATAGTCGCAAACACGTAAGATCGCGACATATATTTAAACGCGGCTTGTCGTCGCACAGCCTCGAGCCGCAGCCGATGGTGGACCGAACAGGGAACTCTACCTGCAAGCGTCTTCACGGATAGGCCGTTACAAGACATTACGCCGACGATCCTACAGTTTACTTGGATTAGTTCGTTCACCACGACGATTTTTTCCAAGTAGTACGAACGAAGGCAAGTCACGATTTATGTTTGTCCAAATTTATTTTTTTCGCCGTAATTATCTGCAAGGAAACGTGAAAATTCGGTGAAGCCTCAAACTTGCTGACGTCGAGTAACTTCCTATCTTTGTTTCGCATTTTTATTTTCAAATTCTTTCAACGTTAAGCAGTCTAAACTCTAAATAATATATAAATAATCGCATAAGAGAATATTAATTAATATAGACTCTCGCAGTTCATCATGTCTTTCGTATCCGGACCAAGCCATGCAGCTTACACATGGGCAGCACAAGGAGGCGGATTTGGTAATCAAACGGTGGTCGACAAAGTGCCACCGGAGATGCTCCACATGGTCGACGTTCACTGGTACCAATTCCCGCCGATGAATCCTCTGTGGCATGGACTTCTTGGTTTCGTCGTCGGTGTCCTCGGTACAATATCTGTCATCGGTAACGGCATGGTGATATACATATTCACCACCACCAAGAGTCTCCGCACTCCGAGCAACCTGCTCGTCGTCAATCTCGCCATCTCTGATTTTCTTATGATGTTGAGCATGTCTCCAACTATGGTGCGTTCTAATCTAAAGCATTCGCGAACGAAATATTCGATGCGATCTGTATATTCAATTAACAATGTGCACAGGTAATCAACTGCTATTATGAGACTTGGGTGCTAGGACCCTTGTTCTGTGAATTGTACGGCATGGCGGGCTCCCTGTTCGGGTGTGGCTCCATATGGACAATGACGATGATCGCATTCGATAGGTATAACGTAATTGTCAAAGGCTTGTCTGCTAGGCCAATGACCATTAACGGCGCCCTCATTCGTATATTCGGTATTTGGCTCTTCACGATGCTTTGGACAATCGCCCCGCTGTTCGGATGGAATCGGTGAGATGCAAAAGTCTAAAATAATATTAATTATTATTAAAGAATATTATCAATTATCAGCAACATACATTTCTATTTTACAGCTACGTGCCTGAAGGCAACATGACTGCCTGTGGTACCGACTACTTAACCAAGGACATAATATCCAGATCGTACATCCTGTTCTACAGCATCTTTGTCTACTTTATGCCGCTGTTCCTCATCATCTACAGCTACTTCTTCATTATTCAAGCCGTCGCTGCTCACGAGAAGAACATGCGTGAGCAAGCGAAGAAGATGAACGTCGCTTCTCTGCGATCCGCCGAAAACCAAAGCACTAGCGCCGAATGCAAACTGGCGAAGGCAAGCCCTCTTGCTTGTAAACTCTCTCGAACCAATTTGTTCTCATTTATGCGGTCGCTGTAACAATATTATTAATTATAGGTAGCTCTCATGACCATTTCCTTGTGGTTTATGGCGTGGACTCCGTATCTAGTCATCAACTACGCAGGCATCTTTGAGACGACCAAAATTAGCCCGCTCTTCACAATTTGGGGCTCTCTCTTTGCCAAAGCCAATGCTGTGTACAATCCTATTGTGTACGGCATCAGGTAGGTCGCAACAATTCCAATCTCTGAAGTATGTCGTCATTGGAATGTATTTTTACAGATAGAATACGATAAAGTAGATGAATTGTTTCACGTGCTTCAAGCGGAGCTAATCTTTTTTTCTGTATGATTCCAGCCATCCCAAGTACCGAGCTGCTCTCTTCCAAAGGTTCCCGTCTCTGGCGTGTGCCACCGAGCCGGCGCCTGGCGCGGACGTAATGTCCACGACTACCATGGTTACAGAAGGCGAAAAACCTGCCGCATAAAATAACAACGATCTACATATCGATTTTTTGGACGATGAAATAGATTCACTAAATGGATGTAAATGCCGTGAAATATTATATTCTCGTCATACAGAAATCGCATCATCATGAGTTGTAAATAGCTGCATTAAATAACGTGTGCAAGAGAGATATGTCTCTAACGAGAATATACTTAACCGTGATATTTTATATAAGAAAAGTCGTACGATTAACTGTGATCAAAGCGAGAGTTCCAGCCAAGCGAATATGCGAAAAACTTTGACAGAAAAATCGAGGGCTAAACAGTTTCATTATAGCTGTTAGTCTATGAAACATTGTATGGTTCGGCCGCACCACGAGACGAATCTCTCATAGATGGATCATAGCGCAGTTTGTAAATTTTATCATCTCTTGGAATACATGGTCACTTTGGAATTAGCAAATATATAATGTCGCTAAAAGTATTATACCGTGAGCGGTATGCGGTATTATATCGCTATATAACGATATCTGTAATTAATTTTATAGAATTAAATAGATACTGCATGCAATCACATACGAATTCTATTTAACCATAAAAATTTTTTAACGTGTGTGTATGTGTACATGTACACAGGATGTCCCATTTTTATTAAAACAGCCAATTTCTAGAAATTACGAGACTTTAGAGAAAGTTTGAGACAAAAGTTGTATGACTTCAAGGGAGATACAAGATGATGTTACCTACCCAGTAAACGAGATTTCAATTCCTATTAATAAATAAAAATGCAATGGAATTGAAAAGGATTTATTCCAATGTTCGCGAATACATACTTCTGAAAATCTGAATTCATTTCAATCCATTTCAATCTCATTCTCGTTTACTGGGCCTTTTATTTTTATTTTTTACGTGAAAATGTTTCAAGTCTCACAACTCGAAAAGTACTTAATAAAAATAAACTTCATTATATACTATTTTGAAAAGCTCTCGATTACAAGAACATATAAAAAAAAGATGGAGGGTTCTATTTAAGAAATTGAAGATGACCTTCACGTGATCTTCAAATAATTATCCAAGGTCAAACCAATCTTATGTCCCCCTCAAGTTATGCAACTTCTGTCTGAAACATTTTTCTCTAAAGTTTCATAATTTCCAGAAATTAGCTGTTTTAATTAAAATGGGACACATATACACGCATCTAATACTATGCACTAGTATTCTTTTTATTATATCTTAAGATTCTATAGATTCTACTAAATCAATACATGCCAAATGACTTATTGAATAATATCCTTCTGCCTAATACAATTGGCACTAAATGCCTTCTATCATTTATTCCTGCAAATATTTAACATCTGCAATAAAAGTAAAGAACAAAAAAGATTTTAAATAAAATGAGAATTCATCATGTACAGCATATATCATGGAATCAGCCCACTCAGTTTCTATATATATAGCTTTTTGCATAATCACCAATTATTGAAGCTTTACAAATCACAAATGTTTCATATGTTTTACATTTATCACACAAACATACACGCACGCACGCACGCATGCACGCACGCACGCACGCACGCACATATACACGTGTATATAATATATCCAATATTATTGATTCGTTTCCTCGAGAAACACACCCTAAACATATATCACAATATTTAGAAATTACAATACATTGTTTTCTTGAAATTATGTTGCAGTCGTAGTAGATGATGTTTCCGCATTTTTTGCAGCCACAGTTGGATCCTCAGTCGAGCCACATACAAAGAAAGGTAATTTTTCCTTTAGCGCCGCTCTATATTTTGGATGACTGTGCAGAGTAAAAAAAATATTAATGCAATACAAGAACATTAATGATTACATATATTCTATTTAAAAATCTCATTTACCTTATTCCATAAACAATTGGATTATATATAGCGTTTGCTTTTGCAAAGAGAGATCCCCAAATGGTGAAAAGAGGACTAATTTTAGCAACATCGAAAATGCCGATATAATTAATAACCAGATACGGTGTCCAAGCCATGAACCATAAAGAAATGGTCATTAGTGCCACCTGTAATTAATAAAGTAAATACATATGTTAATCCTAACTTTCTTCAGATCATTCTTTCAATGTTTTAGTATATTTCTTATAACTATACACATATATAATATATTTCTTTTTTATCTCACCTTTGCCAGTTTTGCTTCTGCACTTATGTTTTGATTATCTCCAGATCGCAAAGATTGAACATTCATTTTCTTAGCTTGTTCTCTCATTGATCTTTCATGAGCAGCTACTGTCTGTTAATTTTGAAAATGTATTTAAGGCCAATAAATTTTTTTCAATGCTATAATGTATGAATACTCTTACCGAAACGATAAAATAATAGCTGTAAATTATAGTAAGCAGCGGCGTATAATACACAAATATCGAGTATACCAAGATGTACGATTTAGAACTCCAATCCTTGGCAAGATAATCTGTACCACAAGCGGTCATATTGCCTTCTGGCACATATCTAATCATATTAAAATATATTACAACACTCTCTTCTCTATTGTAAAGCGCGCGCACAACATATTTTTTTATAACCATAATTTTTATTATCTTAATGTTACCTATTCCATCCCACCATGGGCAAAATTGCCCATATTGAACCGAAGAACCAGATTATTAAAATTTCGAGCAGTGCTTTCTTAATGGTGAGTGGCTTTCCCGCCATACCCTGAAGAGATTTAGGCATGTTGGTTTCTGTTCACATACTAATAATAATATAAAAGTATATTACACATACCTTTACTATAACATTATATCTGTCCAAAGCAATAGCAGTCATAGTCCATATTGAAGCGCATCCACATAAGGAACCAACCATGGCATGTATGTCGCACATTAGCGATCCTTAATATAAAATTAATTCATACATTACTTACATATTATCAATTTAAACTTATATTACAAATGACAATAATTGGTATGATGGAAAAACAAAGTTTGCATTACCTAATATCCAGGTCTCATAGTAGCAATTGATTACCATATGAGGCGTCATAATGATCATCATGATGAAATCCGAAAACGCCAAATTTACCACTAGAAGATTGCTCGGTGTTCTTAAGGAGGGTGTCATCAAGAACACATATACTACAACACCATTTCCACACCATCCCATAAACCCTAATACAATCATCACAAGGCCTAGAATTTTGTGCCATATTGGATCTATCGGTGGAAACTGATACCTGTAATTCCAAAGTTCAGTGAGATTTACTTTACAAACACAAATGGTGTAAGAATATGGAGAAATCGAAAGTAACCAATGTAGATCGATTAAGTGTATCATATCCGGAGGTACTTTATCCACTACAGTTTTATTATAGAAAGACATAATTTGCTGCATAGCTCGAGGTCCGATCATCGTTGTTAGTACATCAGCAAACGCCATGGTGGAGTTCTCAGAGAAAATGGTCAAATTTTCGGTACTTACTGTAACAAGGGATTCCATTTTCTGCAAAATATTGGTAATTAAGTATGGACCATTTAGAGATATAATGCAATAGATACAAAAATAACAGATATGCATACTTCTTAACACTGGAATGTTTCAAGATGCAATTGTTCCTGTTGGATCTAGTTTCTGAATTCGAGGCAATTAAAAACTTCTAATTTGTAAAACATCAATAGTCCGTGATAAAGAATAACTTGTAATGGTAACTGTGTCATATTCATAATACAAGTGGAAAAAGAGCGCAATTTCTTTTATATAGGTATAGAGATCCAATAAAATCATCCAATTATATATGTAAATGTACCTATCCCCTTAGTATAATGTATATGGATGTAATACGCATGCTATGCAGATTACTGTCACTTATTATTTAGGATGATCCGATCGAAATGAAACTTTACAGATGCTGATAATAAATGTGATTTAGATAATGGAGTTACATTCATTCAGTATTCTTTATAGATAAAAAATTTTTTATTCAATCCTTTATACTTATATCTATTTTATATATAGTTATATATTACGCACTATATTCACACATTGCCTCAAATGTAATTACAAATTACAAAAAACCTCATTTTATTGCTCTTGAAATTCTTCGAATATGTTGACTGCGACTTTCTTGCAGAGCTTCCTCTAACTCTTGAGTTATATGAAGCAAGTTAGTTGGATCGGTTTGTAGTACAATGTGTTCAATTCTCTCGGGATTATCGGGATTCTTCAGCGACAAGTCAAGAGAGATAAGTGGTGCAACTTGTTTCAACAAGGATCTTGACGCAGTCTATGACGCAGAGTAATATAAATTATAACTCGAAACGTTCGGAGGAAAAGAAAGAGAGATACGGGAGACTCCACTACCTGCACTTCAAATCTCCATTCCATGTCATGGTACCTCGGCAGTTTAAATCCAATCTCTTCCAATGCATCCGAAACCTCGTCCTTCTTAACGTTGTACAATTTACTCAATATCGCCTCCTTGTCTTCCGTGAAACCTAAAGCGACTATGGAATCTCGGAAATCCTCCGTGCTTAGCTGTAAAACTCGAAATTTTCAGGTTCTCAGGTTTTTTCAAATAGTAAATACCCTGTTGTCTTGCATTACTTTGGTAGGTCTCACCTTGTATTTGCAACTCTCCAGCAAGAGATTGACCAAACCCTCTACCGAATTTTTAATCACATCCAGCTCAACGTTTAACTTTTCTGAAATGAGAATGAGGTAACTTATGCAGTTAGTAATCATACTTTGACCGTTAGAGCAATTAGTCATCTGTGTTTGCGTTAAACTTGTGTTTTTTAATTCAATAATAAATATATAGTTGTATATTCATGTATTGATAGGATTAAATAAAGTAAATTTTATCATTTAAATGGTTATTAAATGGCGGATCTATAATTTCTGCAATCATTCTGTCATTATATTCTGTTAAAAAATTTTGATCAGGATTGTGCATTTAATATACATAGTAATTTGCATCTATATGCAACTAATGTAAACTATATAAACTATAGATGTTTTTATTCCCCTGCAGTAGAACTTTCTTTCTCGCTTTCGCCAAATATCAAATATATATTTATTTTACTAGTTCCTAAAGTGCACATATATTATTTGAGCTAAAAAAAATAGATCTCAAATCTGTTCTTTTTAACTAAACTTGTTGTATAGTTTCTTCTTTTTCCTTTCCACATTGAAGAAAAAAAGAGAATAGTCTGCAAGTTTAGCTAAAAAAAAAATAGGCCTCTTATGTCTTACATATCATATGTGTAAATAATCTATAAAAATGACATTGAAGCCTCCGTTCTTTGTCTTTGCATTAGACTGTATAAAACTTTTATCTTGCTTATATATATTTATTTATCAATACTCTAGTCAGATATATTAACAGTTACAAAACAATTTCTTTCTGTATTGTATTATCCAATGTATAATATCTTTATTTTACATTGTTTATATTGTTTACACGAAAAAGATTCGTGTAAATTTAATGTAAACATAAAAATTATATGTAAACGTAATCTTGAAATATATGGTACAGCCCTAATTTTTATATTTCTGCTAGCATTCAATGAACAAAATTAGTAGCAGATAATTTCAAAATCTGCTTGCAAAACTAAATGTGGTTATACAGATACATACGAGCAGCAGCGTTGTACACTTTGACATTCGGACCCTTTTGCAAATAATCCAGAGCCAATTTGCAGAAATCCTGTAAAACTACGAAAGGAATGTGCTTTTACGTTTCTCTGTGAAAGATAAATTCATTCATCGGCAGACGATTCGCTCTTACCTGGCGATGATTGTTCGACTAGAAACAACATGTGCTTCTTGTGATCTGGCTTCAATGTTAACAACATTTTCGCTCCTGCTTGATACGTGTCGTTTATCAGTTAAAATTTTTAATCAGCTATGAAAATCAACAGCCATCTGCAGCCATTCGACGATCCTCGAATTATTTTCAACTTTCAAGACAGGCGGTATTACGTCGTCGCCATGTTGATTCTTGACTCCTCTGGCTGCTTTCCTTTTAGGAGACACAGTCGACACAAGTGTCGTTCTATCTTTGTCACTCTCTGAATGTCAAGAAGGATAGAATGACGCTTGTGTCGATTTGTATCATCAAAGCAATGGCTACGTTTACACCGTGCGTTTAGTCCGCGACCTATACGATAGATGTCTTTGTTTAAACTACAGGTTTAACCTACAGGATAAACAAGGACATCTATTGTATAGGCCGCAGCCTAAATGCATGGTGTAAACGTAGCCAATGGCCTGGACGTACGTTTTTTCCGCGGCCTATACCCTAAATTCGACCTAATTCAGGTCACATTATTTAGGCCGCTCGCTGTAAATACTACTATACCTGACCCAACCTGTTGTAGGTCAGGCCGTATTTTTTGGCGCCCTCACCTAAAATAGGTCGTCTGCTTTCTCGGTGTAAATTCGCGACTGACCCGACCTGAAGCTTCGTAGCCATTTTGCTCGAACAGCTGTTTTGTTGAATTTGAGAGTTAGGTTAAACCGGTAGCCATACTTACGTCTACTTGCTATAAGCGCCTTTTTCATGACTTAATGCGCATGCGTTTAGCGATTCTTGGGTCCATATGGAAATAATTTGTACAAAATACGATAGATGGCTCTAATTCGGACCAGCGTGGACTAAATATGACCCAACCATTTTTTAAGTCCCTTTCGGTATAAACGGTTGGTGACTAGACCTACTTTGGGTCACGATATAGGTCAGGTCGCTATCAGTCGTACGGTGTAACCGTAGCCATTGTCCATCATTCTTCATTGTTGTATGGACTAGGCAGCGTGCAGTTTCAATAATTGTTCATAAATGTGTGTTCACATATCTTGAACTAATTCTCTTATATCCACATTTCTATCAATGTAGATCAATCTTATTGTCTTTTTATTTTTTCCTAATGTTCTAAGGATTGGACTAAGATAAAGAATAAATTAAAGCTAAATTTTACTATACATTAGAAAGTAGTCAGTCATCTTATTAATTAAGGATCGATTTTGGGGAAAAGGAGAACATTGTGCAGTTTTTAATTTACATAAATTGCATTTGAATGACATGTAGTCAAGATTTGTATTAATAATAGTATGTCTATAGTATAAATAAATGAAACAAATACAACATTTTCATGTACCGAATTATGAAGAGATTATACTTAACAGTGTCACTTAAGCGTTAGTTATTAATTATACAACTGTAATAATTCCACAAAGCCACGATCTGTACAATATTATGATTTCGATTGATTTATCGATCCTTTAATCTGGGTCTGTTGAAACGCTTGCTGCAATTTATCTATTACATCCCTCTGCGAGTCCAGCTTCTTATCCAGGGTAGACATCAAGTCATCCACGCGTTTCCTGAAATTCGGTTCCTTACATGTAAATCCGAAACAAATTTGCAGTTCGATTTCTAGACTGGTATTCATATAGTCGGTTCTTATTTAGGCCAGTATTCATAGTAAATTCTTACATTTAAGATTGTCTTAGAGTACAATCCAAGATGTCATGTACCTTCTTTTTCTATATGATTTATGAGGGGAAGGAGTCCTTTGAATTTTAGAATTCAGAGGCCAGAACAAAATTTAACCAAAATTTATTCCAAAAGCCATTAGAAAATAAGATCTTCTATAAGTTACTTTATTATAAAGTTTTGATCCTCAAAGGGGTAAACAGTTTTAAAATAAGAACGGACTATGGAATATTACTCTAATAAAACCTACAGTTCGGACTTGATGTAATCCATACGCTTGTCAACATTTTGTTTGGCCTCACACAATTCCTGCTTTACGAGCACAGGTCCTATGAGCTTGAATACATCATTCTCTTCCTTTAAAATATCTAGCTCTTTCTTCACCATGATATTTTCGTTCAGCTGACCATCTAATTGCTGTCTCTGGCTCAGCGCCTTGTTGTACTCTGCAAATACAATAAATACATTAGTGTTTTTTCTTTATATATAATAGTCTTTATATAGTAATCTTTATATAGTTGAGGCTTTTTATCTATATTATCTATATGTCTATTCGCGTTGCTTGCACTCGGCATCTTCGCTTTCTGTTTTTTTAAAGCCAAATATATATCTATCTCATTTTAAGTGTAAAAGCATTTGGGGATTTCATGTAACGCGAACAGACCTTATATGGCTGTATTATCACTAGCAAATAAGGTCAAATAAAAGAAACAATAATATTAAAAATATTAGGAATTTTCCAACAAGAGAGACAGATGAGTGTAACAGTGAATCATTACAGCCTTGTTGTTTGCCAATGTTAAACAAAGATAAATGATCACTGTGTTACTGTTGCTTGTCAAAAAGCTCCCAATGAGAGATAAACGAGGAGCTTCAGCTTCCTTTTATTTAATGACTTTTGCCAATACCGATTAAATTCAGCCAGTAATAATTAATAGTCGAATTAATTAAGTACAGAATTGAGAATATATCAGAAAATATTTGTTAATTGTGAATACAAACAGTAATTAATTTCGTCAGAAACTTTCAAAAATTTTAAATCCGCACTCGGCAACTCTGATGCTTTATTTCAGAGATCTTATTGCTGCACGTAAAGGAGGAGCAAGATTTACATTAAACACTTTCCAGAAATAATTATGAACGTTTCTTAACCTTTTTGGATTTGCCGTAGCGTGTCGGCTTCATTTTGAAGCTTCTTTTGAATCTCCTCTACCATGATTATCCGAAAAATTACTTTTAACTGTGCTAAGAAATAAACCGCTGTCGCACTATGAAGTTTTACAAATAAGCTTTTAACGATAACACCGGAAATTCTTCTTCGGAAACTTCGCCGACATAACCAAATCAGTATTTTTTTAGGTCCGTTCTTTATTCCTGCACTCTCTCAACTGGTGCACGCGGTGCAATAAGTTGAAGTGAAACAAATGTATATTTTGCACCATGTGCACCAGTTCAGAGAGTGCAGAAATAAAGAACAGACATTCCGTTCTTCAATTGTTGCCCCGCGCGATTCGATTCGATATATTTCGATAGTTTCAATTATTGCTTTTTTGCGATATCAAATTCACAATTTTTTATTATACATATAAAAGCATGAATAAGTATACATACTTGTAATGTTATATCTTATTTATTGCTACAAAATTATAATTTTTTTCTCTACAGTTATCTTTTTTGATAATCAAACTCAAACAATATTAAAATTAGATTTAAATAAAATTCGAGTATTATTGAGTTGTGTCTCTAAACATATATACACATCCACGAAACTAATAAATCATAAAATTAGTGCTATCAGTACTACTATCACTTAAATTTTAAGTCATGCGAACTTTCATAAAACCGTCATCTTTAATAGTATCTCGTCGATGTCTCCAGGTTTCTCTGTTTATGTTTAAAGTTAATCAAAGATATCAAGCCTTTAATTTTGTAAAATAAAGCTTATGAATTACAAATAAATAAATAAATAAAAATTAAATAAATAATATTTAAAATATGATTATATATTATTTTTAAATTATATAAATTTTTTAATTTAATTTTTATTATAATTATTACAATTATTAAATTTATTATTACTTATTATTTTTTAATATCGACAAATAGTTGCGTTTAGTTTTAAACATGCGCCTTACTAGAAGAGAATATATTTTAGCAATTGTTATAATTATTGCATTGTTACCAAAACAACTTCACAGCATACAAATATATCACATAAGTAAATTTCTTGCTTATTACTTACTCGTTTAGTGATGGAATTATTTCGTGATTTAAAATATGCAATTTTCTCATTTATTTTTGCAAATTTATATGAATATGAATGGCTCGTCGAAGAAAACAGAATTTCATCGCAAACTGTTTTGCAAAAATCCTGCAATTTTTCCGTTTACGATTTCAACATTCTTATTTGAATATTTCGTGAAAATACAAGATCGTTAAAACGTAGTATATAAATGTATATTTTCTATTCACTAACAATTCGATGAGATGTCAAGTACAAGGACACATGATAAATGTCACGCTGCAATATGTCTATAAATAACAACATCAAGTGTGAATAATCATGTTCAATATTTGTCTGTACGGTACTTTATCATCTTTTATTACCTCATAATATCGGAAATGAAAGCGAACCACAAAAAGAAAAGGTGCGCGCGGTGGCAGCATACATTGATCGTTCACCATTGATACCATAATACTGCCACAAATTTTCTGCGTTTGCTAAACAATTTAGACAGCCGTTAATGTTGCAAGTCAATACTTATATGCGTATAAAAATACAAAACATCCTTGTGTACGTATAAAAGCTCGTACTATTGCAAGGTTTGATCTAGTTCTATCAATTTCTCTTTGATAATTCATTAATATATTTCTTTTGCACACGATGAGAACTATTGCTACGATACTTGTACTTTTTCTTATACAATGCACGTATTTACGTGCCGAAATTAATCACGTGCCTGCGATGGGCAAATTCACGGAGAGCTGTATCTTCGGCGTTAAATCGGTATCATTATATCTGTACAACAGGTAAAATAGGTGCAAATATCCATTGTCAATTCATCTGTTGTGCCAATTATATTTATCTTCGTTTCAGCCATGTTACAGGCGAAATGGTCCCGGATAACGAGCTCTGCAACAATATTGATCCGTCGCAACCGGTCACCTTTGTAGTCCATGGCTTCACTAGTTACGCAAATTCGTCTCAAACTAGAGATCTGGCCATGCAATTGAAACATGTAGATATTACACTTTTGCATGAGTAATAATTGGAATGAAAGTACGACGTACCTACAAAAAACGAAAATTTAATTTTAATGTGAAAGTATTGTAAAACATAATCAAGAACAAACAAGTAAAAATTGATAAAATAATTTCTTGATGAATTGATGAATTCTATACTACGTATTGAATTTTATACACTCAAAAATTCATCAATTTATTTAATAAAAAATCAATTCATTTAATAAAATAATTTCCTGCTTTAATAGAAAAGCACAGTATTTGCGATGGATTGGTCTCAAGCAGCTTGCAAAGATGGGATACCCATCTTGAAATACACGGGGTATTATAGTGCGGTGATCAACACTCGAGAGATAGGTCATCTTTTGGCAAAGTATAACTACTTTTAAAAAAAGATCGATAACACAAAATAAAATAATATTAATGATTAAATAATGACAAAATAAGCATAGTATTCGCTTATACTTTACACGCATGCACACACACATATAAGATGATTTACTTTAATCTTAACAAATATTTCGAAAAATATGAAAGATACGGAAAAACATTTCAGATAAAAGCGAAATAGTTTCAAGGGAGACTTTTTGATTACATTATTTTTTTCTAAGTAGAGACTCCAAAAATATATAAAGGTCATCTCCACTCTTTTTTAAATGGAATTGTATACTTTTTTTTACAAAATATGATTCTTCTAATTATTCTGCACATAAAAGTAATAAAAGGTAGAGATATTAAAAAACTAATAGTTTAAGAGATATTTTATACTTTATTCTGACACATATTGATGTAAAATGTTAAAAATTTCTCGTAAACTATTAATTTTTTTATTTAATCATACCTTAAAGCCTATTCTACAATGTGTTTTTTGTTTCCTGTTTTTTTGCTTTTTGCTATTTTTTGTATCTTGCCTTTTTGTTTCTTATCCCGTTTTTCGTTTTCTGTTACTCGAGATAAACGTTAACGAACTTCAAAAGAAACAGAAAACACATATCAAGAAATATAATTGTCGATAGAACGATCACAAAGAGGAAAAAAGCAAAAGGTAAAAAGCAAGAAACAGGAAACAAAGAGCACATTGTAGAACAACCATAATACTTCTATAAATAGAATTAGAAAAATCATATGTAAAAAAAATTACACAGAATTTGCTGCAAAATCTCTGCAATATTATTGCAATATGTAATGTTGCTGCGGTATTGCAGCAGTGTTGCAGCAACTTTTGTGCAACTTTGTGCTGTAGGAGATAATTCTATTTAAAAAAATGGAGGTAACCTTTTCTATCTTTTTGGCGCCTCTACTTAGAAAAAAAGCGTATTCAAAATACGTTGCTCTCGAAACCATTTTACTTTTATTTGAAACATTTTTCCGCATCTTTTGTATTTCTGGAGATCGAAATTGTGAAAGTTAAAATAGGATACCCTGTGTGTGTGTATGTATATATGTATACGCACAAGCACGCACACATACACACGCACGTGTATACATACCAAAGATGCGATGGTCCGTAATAATCGAATTTTCATTTTGCAGCTATACCATTACCTTGAATAAACAGTGCGGTGTTCCATTAGAAAAGATAACGTACTTCGGCCACAGTCTCGGCGCGCACGTGTGTGGCTTCGCTGGGAAAAATATCAAGAGTTTGGGCTTCGAGATTGAACTTATCATTGGTGCTGATCCCGCACGTCCGTTATTCAGCGGCAACAAACCCGAGGATAGACTTTGCGATTCGGATGCCAAACGTCTAGTAGTTTTCCACACATCGCAACTCGGGATGGCGATCCCTATGGGTGACCTCGATTTGTACTTCAATGGCGGACAAAACCAACCAGGATGCGGTACTGAGAGATCAATTACATCTAATTATTGCATATAAAGAGACACTGGCTAGAATAATACAAAAGAAGCGATAAAAGGAAATTATAAATAAATCAAATTCACATTTTAGGCTTAAATTTCTTTGCTTGCCCGCACAGCAGAGCTATTGCTTATTTAACAAATATTTTAAAAAATAATTGTGGATTCCCTGGTGTTTCTGATAGGTAAGTCCCTTCCTTTGATACACTTCAGTTTAGCTCAACTTTCACGACCATTAAATTTTCCTGAAAAATTTCATTATATTATATCATTTACATAAAACATGTTGCGCGCATATTGTTGAATTTGTTTTTTTCAAGCCATTCCAAAGGTATAAATAAGATGTTATTTCGAATTATTTATGTACAGATTTTCTGTTATTTTATAATTATTGTATTATTCATTATGTAATTTGGATTTTTTCAGTTCATCCTCTTATCCTAATTCTAACACAACAGATTGCATTATGGTGAATAGCAATGTATTAGATTGCAACAGTTCCATGAAGGGAAAATATTATGTATTCGTTGATGAGCATTCTTATTGTACAAAGGAAACTTTCAGCTGCAAACAGTAATAGCAGTCGTTGAATTTGAAATGTCAGTTTTGTTATAGATAAGAGAATACATAAGAGAAATGAAACTTTACAACAAATTATTATAAATAATTAAATAAAATCGTTTAACCAGCACACGTAAGTCTTCCTTTCCCAAGATTCTTGAATCATTACTGATGAAAGAAACGGAACGATTGTAACTGATAAAATTTAATAAAACTAAGTTACTTACTTATTAATAGGTAAAAATTAATAAAGGATACGAAAAAAGATGAAGATAAGACTACCACAGGAATTTCATTGCGCATTATCGTATATTTCTCGATTATCTTACTGAATTAAATTTTATAATAATTATACTTTTATTATCTCATTCGTTCTCTTGTGTATGTGACGTTCTTTCGTTATTCGCCTTAAAATGGCAGAGATACTTTCGATAATCATCTGCCATGGGAATAACTCTCGTTCGACGTTAATTCGCGTCGTATGAACATCGCTCAGACGTTTCTCTCGCATCGTTTATCGTACATCGTGTATTAATAATCCCCTTGTCTTTCTTTCCTTTCTCTCGCTTCGCATTCGTAAATAAAATACATTGTCGCGTTGTTAATGTTTTTCGAACAGCCATCTCTGTAGTTTTCCTTAATCAATATTGATACATCGATGTGTCGCAAGATTAGAAATATCGCTCGGAAAGTTTTCTCGGTTAGTACAGATAAATCCTTAATCCGTATGACCTGTGTGTTCAATCAATTTGATTCGTAATTCAATATATTCGTTAAAATAATTATCAAAACTAAGTTAGAAGATCCTAATTCTTAATCTTTCCCTTTTCTTCTTATAACGAGTCCGCGTCTTGTAGTATCACAATATGTGATGATGCACATTAATGACGCATTCGAAGAAAATTAATGTGTTTGCAAAGATAATAAAACTCCACGTTATTTTACTGTAGCGACAGTAAAATCATATCATATTATATCTTGCTCAATGATAAAAGAATTCTAACTTTTTAAAATGATTGGATAAAATTTCAACGCGATAAAAGTAATATAAAATAGCAAAATATGTATAAGACGATTCATGGTACCGTACTATTAGGTACATATACATATATAACAATTCATTTCAATATAACAATAGAGCATTTAAATATACGATAACAAAGCGTTTAATTTAAAACACATTTTTAACTATGACAGATGTAAAATTAAACAATACTTTAAAAAGTTTCATTACATTTGCATTCTAATACTTTTCTGCTGTATTTCTTTCAATCACAAAGCTTATAAATACAGGATATTAATGTTCAATTTTAATGTTTCGAAGAAAATAGCGTTTTAATTATAAAAATTCAAAAAAGGAAATGTACTTGCAAATATCGTGATCATTCTTTGATTATTTTAATCATTTATCCGTTTAATATTTCATATCCTACATAACACTTCGCTTATAACGGTAGTCAGACTTAAATATGATAAATTTTGCTATAATTCAGAAATGATAATATCATGAGGAAGATGTATTGAGACGTACAATCTTCGCTTACATCGAGGAAACTCATATTTTATTCCGATATTTCATTTGAGTAAATACTCGCACAAATAAATGGAGATTTCAAATAAAACGTTAAGATAAAGAAGCGTTAGGAAAACGTACATTATCGACTGTCGCTTTTTTTTTGTTTTTCGTTTGCTGGATTTGATCTTGCCACGTCCGGAAACATTATGACGCCTCGACTCGTTCGCCTCACGCATTAGACTTATAGGTCTGCAATATAGACGGCCTATATATCTCGATACCGCGCATTATAAGGTATTTTTCTTTTTCTTTTTATTAGTTTGCACGGAGCTTGATCGCGATCAACTTACTTTCGATTTCCGATCCTGCAGAGATGAGCTTGGTGTGCGGTTGTGCGGTCGTGCTCGGCTGCGGATTATTCAACTGCCCTGTAGTCGAGGGTGCAGCAAAGCCAGGAGGTGGTTGCATTGCCCAATGCTGAGTAGGTGCATTCTGTTCCTGAGCATAAAACATGAATTGTTATATCTGCATGCATCGTCAATGTAGTTTATATTTCGTACAGAATGAATTAAATAAAATTCGTATTTTTACATTCTATGATAAGTGACAAAGTACAAATTGTCAAAGATACAAAAAATTGTATTGTACCTGTTGCGTGTTATGAGTTACAACATGAGAAGGATGAATGTGGGAAAACTGCCAAGCGCTGGTAGTTTGGAATGGAAGAGGTCTAGATGACGTGACTATAGCCGGATCAATCGAAGTCCAATCTGCGATGGGTCCGAAATTGTTCCATCCTTTCTGATGTAACGCTTGATGGTGGAACTGCTGCTGTTGATTATTAATTTCGCACCAATCTTTCAGGGTATAAACGTCGCCCGTGCATTTGCCGATGCCTGTACAGGAAATTGTTATCAGATATTGTAATCTATAAATATATTAAAAATATTTCAATACAGAAGATTAATAGGTAGAATTATTACTTTGCGTGTTGAGAAGCGGGCTTCCATTTGGAAGGTACGCATTCTGTGGTTGAGGTGGTTGCGCTCCTGTAAACATAGCATGCATTGGACGATTAACAGATTGCGACTGGCAACATCCCATCTAAATATCTACATGTTTGTGTGATTTTTTTTGGTGGTCCGATAGATCTTTGCAGATCTTTTTCCTTGTCTACACAATCCGCGAATCAATAATTTATTTTTCTACGGCTACGACAGATTATCGTATGTAAATTTCACGCACTGTGCACTATGATTCCTGGTGCCTGGAAAAATTGGAGGAACACTAACCAGAGAGGGCACTATTCGTTGGTGCTGGTCGCGGTATACCGAGACCGAATGAATTCATGTGATTTGGCGTAGAACCAGGAAAACCAGGTGGCGGGAGTCGACTGCGTTGTCCTAAAGTGGTAGCCGTTACAGTACCCTGTGCAGGGCTCTGCGCGCCGCTTGGTAAGAGATTTTGCGGAAGACGGGACAAGAGGGAATGCGACTGAAGCACCTGTAGATTTTGCAGGTGCTGGGCTTGTTGCTGCAAATGTGCTATGTGAGCAACCTAAAAGAGTATTTATTTCTTTAAGTTCATTGGTTTGCATTCGCACCTCATTTTTATCGATAAATGTGCATATTTATTTCTGAGATTGCATAATAACATAAATTATGTGCTAAATGCACGTATTTAAATCGATAAAAATGTAAATATCATTTAATTTGAATGTATTTTGCATAAAGTAATACAAATTATAGAGCTTTTTTGAAATGTCAAATTTCGTTAAAAATGAAAATAAAAATAAATATTAATCTTTCATAACGTGCATTGTTGTAAAAAATACATCTGAACAATTTCCTTATCAATGATAACATTTTTCATGAGTCATCTCTATTCTCTGATATGACTCCCCTCCAGTAGTTTTACAATATTAGTGAGTTTCAAAACACAAAAAATAAAAAAACTTTTAAAAATGAGGAAAATGGCATATGTTGTAAAAAATAAGGCACACATTACTGAAGGTTATATGTTAAATATATTAATAAGAAGTAAAAGAATCCGATAAGAATATTTACTTGTGGAAAGTGTTGTTGATTAAGGCTAGCGAGAGTTTGTTGATGCTGCACCCTAGTTTGCTCCTCTCGTTCTCTTTGCTGTTGTTGCTGAAACATCTTCTGTTGCTGCACTTGCATTTCATCTTCTGCTAAAAGTTCTGCTAATGCTTTCTGCGTTTCATGGAAAGGATCGAAACCTAAATCGTCGTCCGCTTTTACATCTGAACCTGCGTCACAATGATTCCGAACTTCTTCCATTGTAGCGTGGCCGTTCTGTTTTATGTACTCACAATTTTCTTGAGTTTGCTGCGCCTTAGAAATTTTATTTTTAACGTTATTTTTAAAGTTATAATTAATTTTTCTTCAATAAAAATTTTTACATTTCGTTCCTTTATTTCAAAAGTAACAACTAAAAAAACGTGATTTCCGAACGTTAAGGAATGTTCGATAAGAAACGTTATTATAATAAAATTAAGTATGAATAAATTTGGTAAACATCACTATTAATTATCAAAAATAAATTAACTTCAAATCGTCAAAACGTCACAAAAAGTGTTTTTTAATGATTGTAAAAAAATGACAAAATGATATTTTACCATATTAAAAATATTTTCTTTTCGCCGATATTATTTGATTAATCAATAATTTTCTGTGTGTGTGTGTGTGTGTTAGTTTAAAAAAAATTTTTCCCCTTCACTAAGAAAGTTCATCTTTTTAGTTGTATTACTTTTGAAGTAAAGGAATGATATGCTCAATAAACATTTCGTGTTATTTTTTTTAGACACAACCCGAAAACTTTATTATTCCGCTTACCTGTATATTAAGCCTTTGTTGTAATGAATTTTGTTGATAATCTGCCATAAACTTAGATGCGGATGAATTTACAAGTAAGTTAGATGTGAAGGTACCAGATGATGGCTCTGTGAGTGCAGCGGTGTAAGGTGCATTTATATAAACCTCTTCATCTGCAAAACCTTCGGAGTTGAATGGTACTCTCGACGAATCAGTTGAACTGGATTTTACTATAATATGATTCGTTCGAGACGATTCAGGCTGAAAGCCAAAAGCAGCTTGCCAATCTTCACTAGAATGGACTGTCGGTAAGGAATCGGGTATCGTAGCCACTCCCGTGCTCGTCCAATCTAGATTTGTGTTTGCTATAAACCGAAGGAAAACTCATTAATAATATCTTTATTAATTACAATAACATAACATTTTTTAAATTAAATTTTTTTAAGTAAAATGTCATTTTTAAGATGTACTTTTTTTTACTTAGAGATCGAGACACTGAAACTATGTGTGTAAAATTATAGTATTGTATTTTCATTGAAGATAGGTCAAAGAGAAGCCGAAAAGTTTGAATTGTTATATATTTGTAAATAAAAATGACTCTTTTGGTACGTTCCTAACTGCCCTTGACTCTTATTTGTTCTGTATACTTTTCACTTGAATTTGAATTTCGAGAGATCAATACATTGTTTGAAATATCTTGGTTGGAATTTTCATCTAAAAAAAGCTAATAACAATACTGTGTAGAACAATATAGAGCTTGTACATGCCTGC